TGGGTCTTAAGTTGTGGATCCAGGGTGCCTGGTCCCCAATAAGCCTTCATGTGGGGGGGGCTCATCACAGGGGACTTGTTTTAGGAACTTGAGTGCACAGCATTGTGCGAGAAGATCTCCTATCGTACCGAAGCAAAGACCCGAGAGAGATCACTCTTTGGCAGCCATTGAGCGACAAGACATGATCGGCTGAATTTAAAGAGAGTGAACCATATCCTCAAGATTGATAAAGACGTCTACCATAAGTACTCATTAATATAACACTGAAGAATTTAATGACTGTTTCGAAATGCCCCTTTAAACTTAAAAGAAAGGGGAAGGGAAAGAAGGGTGGAATTTCCCCCCCTCTTCCCTTGGAGCGGCTACTATGAGTCAACAAAAGCAACAAAGAATTGCTGCATTAAAACTTGGGGCAATAAGAGAACGTTGTTTGAGCTTCTACCATTTTGATTTGGATATAAATTTAAACAAGTAAACTCTTAGCACTTACTGGATTTATACACAGATTTGTTAAAGAAAAACAGACTAACAGTTTCCCATAACATCAACTTTCTTGTTGGAGTTTGGAAATCCACTCTGTGCAGACTCCACTGTAACAGTAAAACAGCTGCCTTTTGTTGAATGATTTTGGGACGGTAAACATGCCTGCTTATGGTTACAATTGAGAAATATTGAGAGTTAACTCAGGAGATTGGTGGTTTACCGGACTGAGCTGGCTTCTGTTATTACATTAAAATGAGCGTACAAGCCATGGAAGAGAGTCTTAAAGCCACTAACTTAGCCCAAATGTCGTTGGAGGAATTTAAATTTTTAATTTTTGACTCGGTGTGGCGGTCCAGGAGGCTAGTAAAGTGATATTTAATAAAAATGAAAATGACCCTCCACAAATGAAAACTGAAACAAAGTGCAGCCTTCAGCCCTTCAAGATACTGATCAAAATCCTGGGCAAGAGAATTTATTCCATGGAATAACCTTTACATCAAAAGAAGAAGAAAAATTTTATGCAGAGAGCACCAACAAGCTCATTAAAAGGCAAATAATGAGAGAAACCATCAAAGAGGAGAAGGAAAAAATACTGCAAAAAGAAGACATAGAAGAATATATGGAATCTCCAACTTACTTAAGAATTGTTCACTTACAAAAATAAAAGACATAGATTTACAGCATTTATGAAAAGAAGGTTTCAGAAGGGGGGGGGAAGAGACTTAAATCTTTATAAATAAACCTAGAAAGGGAACTATCATGTGGACTTTGACCCAAGCCAGCAGATATGATATTTTTGATATTAAAGTAAATCTATACAGGTTAAGCCAAGTTTAAAAATTATATAAGTAAATTTCTTAGAAGATAGATGCTATAAATATACTTGTGCATCTTTTATGTTTTAAGACATTTATGAGATTAAGTTTTAATGGAAACTCAATGGTTTAAAAAGTAAAGAAGATTAGGTTAGAAAATGGTTAGAAAATGGCTTTGTTATGATAATTGACTAAGACTGATATTTGCTTATTAAATAGTAACTATATTTAGGAGAAAATGTCAAATAGAATGTTATAGTAATTGGAACTATATTTCTATGTTTATATATGCTATTATTAAATGTAGTATATAAAAATATAGGAAAGGGTAGCGACAACCCTGTATGATTTTTATGAATTTGTTGTATATCCACAGCTGGAAATATATACTAAAAGAATTACATAATCTTAAAGAAGTATAAATATACTCCGTTAAAGGGTGAATGAGATGGTAATTGATTAAACTTGGATATTAAGTTTTACACATTTAAAAACTAGTGGAAAGGATAATTAGAATGTCATTTTAAACGTTAAGATAGAAATGAAGATATTGCTTAGAAAATTATAGTTGGAATAAGTATGTGCTCAAATATAAAAAAGTTATGTATGGCCCCGGTGACACGGAGCATTAGCCACGCTAGAGGGATGGAAGATAAGCGGAGTTTCCGGGCGCAATCTCACCGGCACATCTGGGAAGCGTCGGGCTTCCGTGGCGCAACCGAAGCTTCCCGCCAAAGACGCGCAGTAGGTACTAGTTTCCTGAAACCGCGTTGCAAGGGCGGGTGTCTGATCGCGTTTCCGGAGGTAGTTCCGGCGCCCGCCCATGTCCCCTCGGAAAAAGTTTTTTTTCAAAGTCTCCATGGATGCGCACACGCACCCAAGGGAGCATGCGCACAATTGCGTTTTTTTAAAAAAGCCAACCAACCCATTTGCCCTGCGCCCTGCTTCTTTGCCGGGCCACAGGACTGTGGAATGATTGGCACCTCCCCCCTACCACGGGACCTCCACGGGACCTCAATAGGTAGGTCTGCTCGAGCAACTGCACGGTTTTTAGCCCCGTGGCTAACAGCCACGTTCCCCCCCCCCGCAGTTTCCTGCCCGTGTGACCGGGACCTAATTTTAAGGTAAAGGCTTGCAAATATTTTATTTAGCTATAAGGTAGAAAAATAGAAACTGAAATGTTTAATTATGAGATAGTTAAAGAGATAGAAATTGATAATGTATGTATGTTTGTCTTTTTATGTTTGTTTTTGTCTTTTTTGCTTTTAAACCAATAAACATTTATTTATAAAAAGGAATTGGCGGGGGAAGTGAAAGGGCAGAAAAAAAATCCAAAAGTATCCTTGTACTCATGATTCACTCAATGCAACCCTAAATAATCCCACAGCCAAGCCACGTGCACCTAACATTATGGGGAAAGTTCTCAAAGCTCCAGCACCTTAGCTTAGGACCTTTCTGCCTTTATCTTCACCCTGTCTTTTAGGACAAAAGAAAATGGTGGGTTTAAACTTTCCTCCCACTGCTTCACTATCTACTTGTACAAATGAAACTATATATTATGCATGCTGCAATTCCATTTATTTATTTATTAGATTTTTACCCTGCTCTCCCAGCCAGGCCAGCTCAGGGCAGCTTACATGACAATATAAAACAGTATAATATGACATTTTAATATAAAATATAAAATCCATTAATGCACAAATTCTTAAAACCATAAATATAACAGCAAGATAAAGTGCTAGTATTTAATTCCTCATGATACAGTCAGCTCCTTGATCTTCTGCAGATGTCCAAGGCGATCAGGTCAGGTGGTAATTGGGGGGATCCAGAGGGATCAGGCTCTCTCTTCACAGGCCGTCAGATGTCCGTAGTGGTGGCAGCTCCAAAGGCCTGGCAGAAGAGCTCCGTTTTACAATCCCTGCGGAACTGCAGCAGGTCCCACAGGACCTGATCTCCGGGAGCTAATTCCACCAGAGTGGAGCCGCCACCGAGAAAGCCCTAGCTCTAGTTGTCACTAGCCTCCTTGATATTCGGGGGGACCAGCTGATTCTGGGTCCCCAATCACAGCGCTCTCTGGGGAACATATGGGGAAATTTTTAAAACTTTGTATATATGGTAATAAATGATTACCCACACACAGAGTAATGCAAACTCTACAGAAGAATATGAATTCTTCCATGAACATATAGCTTTTAAATCTCCAGAGCATGTAAATATTTAGAATGTGTTTAGGAAACTTTTACACTCTTTAAACTAACAGAAGTTGCTCCAGTCAACGATCAGTTTCCTCATTTTGTTACTCTTATTCTTCGAGGATCAAACAAGGGTCCATACTTATCTTGGGATTGTGCCGTCCGTCGAACACATTCATTCAAATAATTACACTTGTATTGAGAATTCCTCCCCCTCCAGCTATTTGAGTAAGTCTGGGGGTGGGATTTTCAGTACAAGTCTAATTATTAAGTGGCTTGGGCATTTAGTCTTGGGCATGCACCCAGTAGGTTTTAAAAGATACCAAATAGTGGGAAATAAATTTTTATCACTCTCTCTTGCTCTGTTCTTCTGCACTGAAGTCATCTCATTGCAGAAGTGCCTTTCCTTTCTTTAGCCCTTGTTGTTCATTCTGGCTCCCCCCCCCCACTCCTGCAACTAAGAAGACTAGTGCAGCTCACTCAAGAAATTGGTAAACCTGCAGAGCAATCCTAAACATGGCTAAGAAATAAATACCATTTATTTCAATGGGGTTGCTCCCTAGTAAGAAAGTTCAAGATTGCAGCCCCGATCAATTAAATAATGTGGCATTTAGCCAATTAATTAACTAAATTCTCATAGGCAGTATGCACCTTAGAAGAGACATTCCCAGGTGAGAGATAAGTGGAGGGGGACACATCTTCTAAGATGGGGGTTGGCTGCTTTCTACAGGGTCTCAAATCCTTGTATTAAAATAATTAACAATTTTTTAAAAGAAGCCTATTGTCTGATTCATTTCGGGTATTTTTTAGTTGATCTAAAGAATGACAAAATGATTAATCTATCCCATTAAACGATGAAGCACTGCAGACCTAAACTAATTTATAGTCAAGACCCCACTTTAGTATATGCTGAATTGGACACCTCCCGGCAACCCTCACACATCATGCTTCTGGCTGACCATGAAAGGTCGTTCGCACATTGGGTCATAACTACCTTGAAGGTAAAGAATTAACTCTGCGAGATTCTCCTTCCCACAATCAAAACGCGACAGTGGAAAGACTATGACACTTCCCGACACCCTATGGAGAAAAGACAAGCCAGGATCTAATGAACGCTCAACAACATCTGTTTTAGGCTACAGAACACTAATACCGGGGTGTATCTGAAAACGCACCCCCCCATTCTTATAAGCCCCAAGCCCAGTAACTGAAACTCCCCGATATAAAGACCCACACGTTGAACGCTTCAAATTACAAGTGGAGCGCGGTGCTCGAAGCGGGTAGAAGGTTAACTACTCTAGGGTGAGGGGTCGTCCCTTTTCTGGGACCCTCCGCTTCTCCGCGGGGTTTGTTTGGCCAAGTGATGCTGCGTGATCGGGACAAGTGTCCCTGATGACCCCCCCCCCCCACACACACACACACCGGTCCCTTCCTACCCTCTGCCTCAGACAGAGCATCCCAGCTTCCAGGTGAATTATTCTCCGCAGCCAGCCCGATCTTTGGACCGTACCTGGAACAATTGGCGATGAGGGTCTGGCAGGGCGACGGCGCCCCTCCTGTCCTCTTCTGTCCCTGGCTGTAGCCTCCGCCGCCACCCGAGCCGCGCGCTCTCTGCTCAAGGGAGCTCCCGCCGCTGCTTCTCACCACGCGCCGCCAGGCAGGAATAGAGCTGCTGAGCCGCCGCCTGCTGCAATACACAACGCCCCCCCCCCTCCCCGCCCGCTCTCCGGTCTGCCGGGGAAGACAGGCGACGCTCGCTCGACGATGAAAAGGGGGGGGAGACAGCCAGACGCCCAGCTCTCGGTGTGCCTGCCTGCCTGCCTGCCTGCCTGCCTGCCTGCCTCTTCTTTCAGATTGCTGCTCTCTTTCACATTTAGGGAGCTACTAGGCGCAGTTCAGTCCTGGGCGATCAATGGCTAACCCAGCGATATCAAGCAGTCCTCTCCTAAGGCTCCAGAGGTGGCCGTGCCTTGCCAGCTGCCCTCACACTCCACTTTTATAGTTCTCAGAATAGTCCAGGGGCTCACGAAATAGGGGCTCCACATCCTAATAGTCATGCAATTGTATAGTAGTGACAGTGCGGTGTAGTGGTTAAGAGTATCTGAGAGACCTGGGTTTGAATCCCAGTAATGCCATGGAAGCTTGCTGGGTGACCTTGGGCCCTTCACACATGTCAGCCCAAACCACCTCACAGGGTTGTTGTAAGGAAAAAATTGAGAAGAGGAAAATGATGTAAGCTGCTTTGGGTCCCCTTTGGGAAGAAAGGCAGGGTATAAATTAAGTACATAAATAAAATAAATAAATCTTGTGGCAATGAATTCTACAAAATGAATTACGCCTTAGGTGAAAAATTTTTTCTGTTGTTTCAGCTGTACAGCTTCACCAGATGATTCTTGCACTTCTCTCGTGTTGTTCAGTCGCACAGTCAAGTCTGACTCTTCACGACACCATGGACCACATCATGCCAGGCCCTCCTGTCTTCTCTGTGCTCCGAAGTTTGCTTAATTTCATGTTTGTTGCATCAATAACACTGTCTAACCATCTCATCCTTTGCTGTCCCCTTCTTCTTTTACCTTCAGTCTTTCCCAGCGTCAGGGTCTTCTCCAGTGAGTGCTCTCTTCTCATTTGGTGGGCAAAGTATTTGAGCTTCAGCTTCAGTATCTGGCCTTCCAGGGAACAGTCAGGTCTGATTTGCTTTAGGATTGACTGATTTGATCTCCTTGCAGTCCAAGGGACTCTCAAGAGTCTTCTCCAGCACCATAATTCAAAATAATCTATTCTTCGGTGCTCAGCCTTCCTTATAGTCCAACTCTCGCAGCCATACATTACTACATTTCTCTCTATCTTACTCTAAACAGAGCTCTTTATTACTGTTATATCTTCACCTTTCATTTCAAAAGAAAAACCCAAGGTACTTATAGCCAGCCTGGTGTAGTGGACAGAGTGGCCGACTAGGACCCTGAGCAACCCAGGTTCAAATCCTCACTTCTACCATGGAAGCTCACTGAGTGATCCTGGGCCCTTCACAAACTCTCAGCCTAGCCTACCTCACAGGGTTGTTGTGAGAAAACAATGCTCTAAGCTGCTTTGAGTCCCAACTGGGAGAAAAGTGGAATATAAATAAATGCAAATGTAAACATTACATACAAATCAGTGAAAGCAAGCCTATGGAAGAAGCCTCACTTGTGGGAGCTCAAGTCTACTTGGAAGTAAATCCCATGTTATTCAAAGAGACTTACACCTAGGAAAGTCCTTATCCTATATCAGGGGTACCCAGGGCTATTTTTGGGCAGGAAAATGTGGTGCCCATGGGCTCCATGGTGCCTGCCAAGTGGTTTTATAGAAAGTGGGCAGGGCCAGGTGGGGCTTGTGCCCAACAGGGCTTCTGATGGTCTGTGCAGACCAAAAGGCACCCTGTTAAACAGAGCTTCTGCCTTAGATGAGAGTTCTGCATAACCTCGCTCTCTGACATTTTGTGGTTGGCTTTGCCTCCTCCTGCAGCAGCCATTTTGTTGTTTTACCCTGTTAGATAGTGGGTTCAAGAGGCTATAGTGATTTCAACATAGCTCTTTGTTCAGGAACATAACAACACACAGCATGCCACAACTATATACAGAAACCCCAGCCCAAAGCACACCCACAAAATACAAGTAAACCAATAGGAACATAGTTGCTTGGAGCCTTTATTTGCATGGTATCATTTACGCTTCTGTTACTTGATTGGCTGGCTTGGCAAGGGCGGCCAATCTGAATGTAGCTGCAAGGAGCCTCTCTAACAATGATCGTTCATTCGAAGCTCTCACTGCATAACATCTTTGCCTCCTCCTGCAGCAGCCATTTTGTTGTTGCACCCACCACCCTGTGTCAGAATTCCAAAGGTGCCCACACACTAAAATCAGATGGGGACCCCTGGCCTATATGATACACCTCCTTTTGTAGAGTAGCTAGTTGCTAATGGAAGGACAGGTTGTAGCTGGGTCAGGGACTGGCTTTTGGAAAAGGTTTCTCTCTCCCTCAAATTCTGTTAAGCTGCAGAGTCAGAGAAACCTGCAAGGAACCCCTGATCTGTGCCTAGGAAGTATTAATCCTGGAGTCCAAGATACATGCAAGTTAACTGTGGTAGTGAAGAAAATATGCTCAGAGGCTCCATTGTCTAAACTTGTTGCTCCTCCCACCATCCTTGGTGACTCAAATTGTCAACAGTCCACATTAGAAACACATTGCAAATATAAACTCTGGTTCAGATCAAGCCTTGAGGGCCCCAGGAAAACTGATTAGCTTCCTGGAGCCTGTGGATATGACAAACCAGGTTATAAGACTTGCTATTATTTGGGGCTTGGGAGATCTCTGTGACGGAAATGTAATTTATTCATAGCTGCATGTGCCAGTAAGATTAGAGTTTTATGAGAGCAGAAGACAGTTGAGCAGTTTGGCTGGAAGGTCAGAGTATGAGGGTGGCTGCTGGCAGGCTTAGATTATAAGGCTTTTAATAGATTTCTTTAGTTTGAGAAAGAATGGTTATAGAAACAGGACAAGCATTTTTTTTTTGTATGTACAGCTAGGGCCTGCCTGAATGCTAAATATAGGCTTTACCTGAAGAGTATTTGTGTATGGAGGCTGAACCTGTGCTGAGGCCTGAGGGGTTTTTTTAGGGCAAGCTATAGAACATGAGCATATTCTAGCCCTTAAAAGGCCTGTCAGATATCCCTAAAATGTGAATGTAGTGTCTAATCAGGAAGGTGACTTGGGGAGGGGGGGGGCTCAAAGTAGGGTACAAATTTTCTGGCTACCCCCCCCCCCAATTAGATCACAATCTTATTAAGGATAATTTAAATAATCACCAGGAAGTAGGAGAAAAAGTTTCCTTATGAATTTTACCTTAAAAGGAAAAGTTTTGCTGCTCAGTTGTATTACAGCGACAGAGCTGGAATCTCTAAGGCAGAGCAAGTCAGAGGTGATTTAAAATGCAATTAAAGATGAAATAATGTATAAAGAAAAATAGCTAGAATCAGTGTGGTTCAGATGGACTTATATCTGGGGTTTGTGTCCTACCTCTAACAGGGCTCACGGTGTGGTCTTGGTCATTACAAATGGCTATGTCTTCATTCCCAATGTATAATATGGTAACAACAGTGGCCTAGCTCACCGGGCTGTTCTGGAACTTAGTAAAGATCGTAAATAATTTTTAAAATACAGTAGTGGGGTAGATTTTTAAAGCATTACATTCTACTAGTTAGCCACCTCTGATAGTCCTATCATAGATAACCACAACAGAATGGCTGGCATTAAATCCACTTCTTTCCTTTGCTTGCTACAAATGAAGTGAAGGCATCCTTGTTCTTTCCCATTACAACCTTCATAGGGTATCCACTGTGCTACTGCTGCTACTATTCTTGCCTAGGGTGACAGCTTCTTACTGCTTTGAAGGCTGATTTGCAAAGAGCCTGTGTCTCTCTGGGTTCAAGGAGTCAACAGTGATCAGGAAAAACAAGACCTAAAGATCTGGGCAGACCCTTCCATCCTCCATGCCACGTGCAAAGCCTGCCTTAAGCCAAAGAGACAGCCTTCTAAAAATAACAATTGCATAAAGTGCAATGAGTTCTTATTGCACAGTTGAAACCATGCAGATAAAATGGCAAGAATTGCGTGAGTGTAGAAGGAGCTGGAAAAGAGAGGAGGAGAAAGCAAAGACCCTTGGATTGCCCTGTTCAGTTTTGAGAGGGGAGGCAAGGGAAATAGGTTATAATAACTGGTGGGTGAACTGGTCTGGGAAGCTGAGACCTTTAATGTGCGTTCAAATTTCTTACAACAGAAGGGAGACAGTTAGAAGGGAGGGATTGGGGGAAGGGGTTTAGTAAGAAAAACCTCTGGACTTTCTTCTTTGGTTCATGTCTGGATCCTGTTTTTTATGTACAACCAGTTTGTGGCACCCTTACATTTTAGCATCTACAGACATGAATTACATAGTATGGGCTTTCATCATAGACCCAGCCCTTTTAAAAGTCAAATTAGTGTTAGTCCCATTAAACTTGAGGAGCCAAATTAATGGGAAACTCTAGAGTTTTTCCAGACAATTTGTTTATAGTGCTGTATGACTCATTTATCGTGTGAGTTCCCTTATGTACCACCTACATTGCAAGACATTGCCCTTCCCTGCACAGAATACAACGCTAGCTTGGAAGTAGGGTTGCCAGCCTCCAGGTGGGGCCTGGGGATCTCCCGCTTTTACAACTGATCTCCAGCTGACCATGATCAGTGGAGAAAATGGCTGCTTTGAAGGGTGGACTCTGTGGCACTGTACCATGCTGAGGTCCCTCCCCTCCCCAACCCCCACCCTCTCCTAGATCCGTCCCCAAAGTCTCCAGGTATTTTCCAACCCAGACCTGGCAACCCTACTTGGAAGCCACTGCTGGTGTCAATGTGGCAAGAGGCTAGGAGGAGCTGTCAGAGTCAGAGATGCTCACAGCACTAAAATTAGTCTAGAATATAGGATCTGCTCCATAATCCGGCCTACGGCACCATGAAACAGTTATTCATCTTACAATCAGTGGAGACATAGGTGGAACCCTGCCATGTAGGGAACTGCTCAGTGATCATATATTGGCAGGATATGGATTGTCAGTTTAAAGGAGAGACTTTTTAGA